ACCCTCTCTGACAGTTCCGTCGCCCATCGTCACGCGTACACACACGTGAGTGCACGCGCCAGATTGGTATGGTATATGGCATTCCAGCTTCGGACACGCAAACCTCTCTCCCGACTCTAATCACTCACTCTTTCTCTCTCTCTCTCTCTCTCTCTCTCTGTCTCTCTCTGTCTCTCTCTCCCTCTCTCTTTTTCTCTCTCTCTCTCTCTCTCTCTCCTTCTCTTTCGCGTGCTTTCTCTCTCCCTGTGTATGTGTCACCACAGATCTCAAGCCTCACATCTAAATGCCTTCTTCTGTCTTACAGATGTTCCAGATCGTGCAGGACCAGCGGCCGCTGTATATCCAGGCGGGGAACTGCGTCGAGGCGAACGAGTGGATCAAGATGCTTGCCAAGGTTTCGCAGACGAATAAGAACCGCCTGCGCATGTACCACCCAGCTGCCTACCTCAACGTCCACTGGCTCTGGTAAGAGAGAGAGAGAGAGAGTGAAGAGAGTGAAGAGAGGGGGGAGAAAAGAAGAGAGGGGGGCGAAAAGAAGAGAGATAGAGAGTGATGAGAGAGGGGGGAGAAAAGAAGAGAGATAGAGTGATAAGAGAGAGGGGGGAGAACGAAGGGAGAGGAGAGAGAGAGAGAGAGAGAGAGAACAAGTGAGAGGGAGAGAGAGACAGACAGAGACAGAGAGAGCCAGAGAGAGAGAGAGAGAGAGAGAGAGAGAGAGAAAGAGTGAGTGATTAGAGTCGGGAGAGAGGTTTGCGTGTCCGAAGCTGGAATGCCATATACCATACCAATCTGGCGCGTGCACTCACGTGTGTGTACGCGTGACGATGGGCGACGGAACTGTCAGAGAGGGTCCCTCCATCGCTCTAACCCCGCGCTGCGTTTTGCCCTCGCGACAGCTGCAAGGAGAAGTGTGAGGATTCGCCCGGCTGCACTCCGGTCACGGGTGGTCTCGCCGCCAACATCAAGGTCAGCATCGACGTCGACCGCGAGATCGAGCGCATACACTCGCTCTTCGTCGAGAACATGGAGAAGCTGGAGCGCATGCTCGGTGAGTGAAGCGCGAAGCCCCGCGAGCGTGTGTGTGAATGAACCGCGTGTCGATCGTCTGATTTTCACGGCTTAATTTCCCCGTCTCCCTCCCCACAGAGGCATGCGAGTCGCAGGCAGTTTACATGGGTGACAGGAGAGTGCGTCCAGACATCAATGTCGAAGATCCAAAGTCGTGCTTCGAGACTCTCAACGACATCATATCGCACGTCATCAGATTGGAGCAGGAGCACAAGCAGCATCAGAAGGCGTTGTTCCAGTGCACCAAATACGGTTCCAAGTAAGTCATCAAAGACGACGACACCTGTACGGTAAATATTGAAACTTGCCAGGGGTCCGATTTTATCCGCTTTGTGTTGAGAAGGGAGTCGAGTGTTGTTTTGGGTTTATTAAGAAGTTTTTGAGCGCACTAAGACAATTTGTAGATGCACCAAGCCAAATAAAAAAAATAAAATAAATATAGGTGTCAACAAGGTGAATTACGTATTGGCGATAATTTTTATATGGGAGCAGGGTGGTGGGGTGTGTACGCAGTGTCGAGTTGATGGGAAAGTCATGGAAGCACACCAAGTGGCGCACCCAGCCCACCTGTCGGCTCGCTTGAGCACTCAATAACAGAATCGTAGTATTAAAATATATGAACTCGATGTTGTGCAGACTCACTTGTAACGTGGTCCAAACTTTTTAGACCCTATCGTAGGCCTCGCGTCTGATTTACGTACGGTGTGCTACTTCGCGTCGGGGTACGTGTGGTTGTTAGAGAGAGGTTTCGTTGTTTCGCTGCAGGCAAGCGCCGATCGGCGACGACAACTACCTGATGATGAGGGAGGCCCACCACTCGAACGACAGCGACCTCAAGCTCGACGTGCGGTGATGGCGGCACCACCAGGCCCCCACCCCCTCCCCCGCCGCCGATGCCGCCAGGGATCGCACGTGCGTCGGATGCCGCAGAATTGTCCCATCGAGACACGAGGCGTGTCTCGCCCGGGCGTGAATACGCAGCGAACGCCCGTCCAGCTGTGGATCGGCAGGACCATTCTCTGGTTGACCAAAGCGAACGTCCACTCGGGGACGGTGTACATATACGCGCGTGCGCGCGTTTGCTCGCATGCTTAACTATCTCCCCATATCGTACCATTCCAGCTTTTTTTTTTTAAACGTGAAAGATCCTGTGATCGCGATGTACGTTTTGTTATTGTTGTGGCGAGAGTACGACTTCTTGTTGTGCGACCTGCGTATACTCTGCCGTTAGCGTGGACCATTGTTAAATAGAAGTTATATAAAACCTGCGCTCTCATGCTTGCCCCGATTTTAGCCGAGTGCGGGTGATGTGTCGTATGCGCAGATTATATACGGTGTACGTAGACATACACTTATTAATTGTTACCGTACTACAACGTAGGTTATAGAGTCCCAGTATAAGTGCAATTATTTGACCATCTGCACAACGAAGCATTGTTGGTATATGATCGTTAGTAGGATACGAGAAATGGAAGAGCAAGAATAATGGGTGTGTGTGTGTGTTGTCCCCTGCAGTACAATTACGATCGTTCAGTTTTGAATAGGTACAATTAGGATCGTTCAGTGTGGCATCATTCCTCCTTTTTATCCTCTCGAACAAATTATTGGCTTCGAAGAGAATGCATATCTACAAGATAGAGAACTAGAGGAAGAGAAAGAGAAAGAGATAGAAAGATCCTACCTTGATCTGATCTTAAATATAACATGCTTGTAACTGCTACTGACACACTAGAATTCTTAAGCTAAACGTGCTTGTAAATGCTGCCTCTACACTAGAATTCCTAAGCTAAACGTGCTTGTAAATGCTGCCTCTACGCTAGAATTCCTAAGCTAAACGTGCTTGCAACTGCTGCCTCTACACTAGAATTCCTAAGCTAAACGTGCTTGCAACTGCTGCCTCTACACTAGAATTCCTAAGCTAAACGTGCTCGTAGCTGTTGCTGCCAAACTAGAACATCAACGATTGCTTGTGAGTTCCTCTACTAAAGATTAATACTTGTAGCAGTATTGTAACAAGCTTTACACCAGATCTCAAATGTACATTGTATATATTAAGGCTTGCTAATATTGTCAGGCGTTCCCTTACTAGTAGTAGCACGAACGTATGTATACTCACCTTGTATAGATATGTTTACGGTAGTAGATGTGATGTATGAAGCGTCTACGACCTGCCGGGTGTACATATCATGCACGCAGTGCTGTGGTTGGGTCGTTTGTTTAGGGTACGTCTGCTGAAAACACACATGCACGCAGACACACATTGACAGCAATATGCATTGACAGCACCATATTGCTGTCGTCTTGGATCGACTGATCTGTAGTTGCCAGTAGGCCGACTGAATGAATGAATGAATGAGGGTCACTTTCTACTCGAGCAGGCATAGTGCTGGTTGGCATTACCTGCAATTCATGGGAAGAATGATTCCATTTTTTCTTTATTTCTATGCCTTTCGCTCCACCACAGAATCAGCTCTGTAGGTAGTGGTTGGGGGCAGCCTAGCTATACTTCTTGTGTATCCCTTTTGCTCACGAGCCCCTGTATAATTGGTGAAAAGAGCGGCAATTTCCCGTCGCTGCTCTTCGTCTTCTAGTATCTGCGTCCTTGACATTCGCTTGTTTATGATTGCACTGTCATGTGCATACGACATTTTCGTCTGTTCTACGAGAGCAATTTTGTTTTTTATTTAATTCGTAGCGTCTTGAGGAAGGCGCAGTCAGCGTTAGCGTATATATTCAAGTATAATATATATATGTATGTATATGTGTATCGTTTATAGTTTAATCGTAGCATGTTAATGCATGTGCGTGCATGCATACAAGTGTAAATAGAATGATGATTAGGACAACCACACTTGAGGGTGCTGCTGCCACAATGTTAAACATATGAATATATCAGTTATGACTTTTTACAAAAAAGTTTATTTTTGTTGGACAATCATTAATCATGGTTATAACTGGTGTTATATCAGGCCAGCTGGTTTCCATTTGTATATTTCTTACGTACATAATTTTTTAAGTGCCCAATATATGGTGTACTATACATATAACTACCTTGTTTTTGTTTTTTATTTTATTACAAAATTTAAAAAAACGTTCCAATTCAAAAACTTTCTAGCTTGCAAAAGCTGACGAAGCAATACTATTTTGCCACAAGATTATTTTCGTAGCAGGTGACCATAAAATATAAATAATTACTTTAATAATCATGGTATTTACATAATTAGGAGTGAAACATTCAAATCGACTGGAAGTTGGAAATATACTTAAAACGACCTTGTCTCCATGAGGTAAAAACCTCGTGCGTGTAACATAAAGGCAGCTTTGCTGGACAAGACATGTTACAGAAAGCAAAACGACACAATTACAGAGGGGTCCTATGCACCACGAATGGCACAAAAAGGCTGAAAAAATGCAGTTTGGCAAAGAGCTACGTGTCTGTTTCCGCTTATACCAAAATGAAAGTGTCAATGACACTGTAGCTCACCTTGGGTGTGATAGAAGAGGGAAGGGGGATATATAAAGCAAGAGTATATATGGGAGAACTCCCATTATATACTCTTGATAATGATATATGCATATGTTTTGATGCAAAAATAAATGTTTCAGATCTGAGTCTGAAATCTTGACGAGAGAAGGCGCTACGCCTAAATGATCGCCATTTTGGTTTTCGAATATCGCGCAAATAAAAACAATCAAATATTCCAGTCAAATTACTGTAACGAAGAATCTAAAACACAATATTACACGTATATAGGTATGATTGTAGAGTTGTTAACCAGTTAGACGAAATAAACGTAATAGGACGTTGTCATCGCCCATAGGAGTAACAACTGTTTTGGGGCTAGTCTTACACATTCACATACCAAAATTTAACAACATCGATTGAATTTAGATGGCCATTTTCATTTTTGCCAAAAAGTGGGCGTGGCTCGAAAGTAGGTCGACTGGCGTGCTCCAAAATAGGACGTTCAAATCTCTCCCATAGCAGTAACAACTGTATGCAATTCTAAACATGTGGGTCAAACGGTTCTTGAGTTATCGTTGACCGTAGGCAGACACTGAAATGTATAGTGAAATTGCCAAAATCTACCTAATTTGTATAATTTAAACAAAATATCCAAACCCGTGTGATATGTTTTGGGGCCAGTCCTTATTCATTCACATACTATAAATGAGCAAAATCCGTTGAACCTGAACTGACTTATGGCCATTTCCATTTTTTCCAAAAAGTGGACGTGGCTCGAAAGTGGTCGACTGGCGTGCTCTAAAAATAGGACGTTTAAACCTCTCCCATAGGAGTAACAACTATATGCAATTTGAAACATGTGGGTCAAACTGTTCTTGAGTTATCGTTGACCGTAGCCAAATGTTGACGGACATACGACGTACGACACCCCATGGCAATAGCTCATCTTGACGATGTCAAGGCGAGCTAAAAAATGCTTCCCGGCCAACACCGAGTAACGAGCATAATTTTGCGGCCTCGCGGTAAGCTCGAGATTGCCTTAGAGAAACTTTGACGTGTGGCCACCGGAGGAGAACCTATCGTTCAATCCCACAGCCTTCTTCATGGCTGCTCTGCGCCGGGCGTCGTCAAACCGATTCACCTGCAGGTCGGTGTCTCTGTCAAACTCCTTTCTCTCATTTGGCTTCTCCCCCTCTTCCTTTTTCTGCAAACAGAAGATGATGGTTGCAAACGTATGCGTATGTTTGAAAGAGGGAAGAGAGGGAGGGAGTATGTGGGAGTCGCTGGATCGACTTAATTCAATCCCGAACTTGGTTAGATCCAAGTTTTGTTTGCGAGTTGTGTTCAGAACTTTCGAATTTGTGAAGTGTTTTGTGTAGATTTGGTGACTAAGGATATATATATATATATATATATATATATATATATCATATATATATATACACATCAAGAGTACATAATGGAAGATATATCTCCCATTATGTACTCTTGATACACATGTATCTAAATTCTGGTATCATAAACATTGAATAGAGATTTAAAACTGTATAATGGTAGGTGTCTACCGACAGCTACCATGACCCACCTTTTTGCTAAGTTTGTTAGTGTGCATGTCTATCAGAGATTCTGATCGTTTCTTCTTCTGAATTAAAAAAGGAATGTTGGTTAAATATAGATAATAGAGCAGGCCCGGCACTAGGTACACAAGGCACGACTTAGCCAAAACTGCAAGTCATTGGAGAGAGTTAAAAACTAAGTCTAATCTCAACGTTATATTTAACTTTACATTAAATTAACTTCATGTTATGAGTAATGAAGTTGAAATTATACGTTATATTTTTTCAACTTCATTACTAATAACTTAATTAGACTAACATTATAGCTCTCCATCTGATCTGCAAGTTCTTTCTCTTTCGCTGAAATTGCTGGTGGCGGGGGCCGCTCCCGTTTTGGCTTCCGCAAACCTTTCTCATGTCTCTCCCACGCTTCCTGCACAATGTGACACCAGATAATTTAGACAGAGCATTTAGAATGGCACTGGCACATGTGCATGCATCCGTTAGTCATCAGCACAACACACACATGGAAATTGTTTTCCATCAATGTTCAATTTAATAACCAATCACGCAGAGTGAAAATTGTCGTGAGTGGGCGATGTACATGGCACATACTGTATACGCTGTATATTTCGCAATGGTTTAATTTTCGCGAATTTCGCTAACGCGTCCTTAACCGCAAAAATAATAACACGCGAAAATAACAACACTCCGTTCTTCACTGATTCGGGAATTCACCGACCGCGAAATTGTCTGTAAAGTCTGAATTCGCGAAAATATCTGTACGTGAAAAATATGGCGTATACAGTACCTTTGCCTTACGCTCTTTGTCCGCAGGAGTGTCAGTCCAGGCGGACTTGTCCTTGTCACCACAGCTTGCTCTTTTTCGAAACGTTCTCGGACCCAAACCAAAGTTCTTACCCATTTCAGGAGGAAGCTCTATCATCCAAGACTCCCGCTCAGCCGGCATTTCTTTCGTCTAGAAATTATAATGTGAGTGGTGCGAGCTGAGACCATCGAGAAAAGGTTAGAAGCTCGTCCAGTCACAATATGTCACCTACCTTAAAAATTGCCAATATGATTCAAGTATTACAAGAGAAATTAAATTTCGCATATTGCATTGAAATATTTTCCTTTTTTGTTTCATGCACTGAGGACTAAATGCCTCAAGCAATGCTTCATTCCTTCATTTCCTCAATCTCGAACTCACTTAACATATCTTTTAACAAGCATATCTTTAACTGATTCGAGGTGCGAAATACTCACAACCAATACTATGCAAATGAGGACCAACAAATATTATAGAGCTTGAGAATTATTACCTGCCCTGTTAGTTTGTCCTTCATTTTTTTAGCCCTAGCCTCAAATTCCTCAGCTGCAGATGTGTTCCTGCTCGCGTCTCCCGATACAGGTATTGGTCCGATCATAAATTCTTCATCAGAGTCACTATCAGTGTCTGCAATGTCCCCTGATGAATTCGCTAAATATGGTGGCAGTTTTGGACCTATGTCCTTAAGTTCGCTCTCGTTCGCTGGTGGCCGTGGTGGTAGTGCCGGTCCATACAAACCTGAACCTGATGACTCTGATGGCACCTCACCTGACAAACTTGCTAAATGTTCTGGCAGTTTTGGACCCATGTCCTTATGTTCGCTCTCCTTCGCTTTGAACCTGATGACTCTGATGGCACCTCACCTGACAAACTTGCTAAATGTTCTGGCAGTTTTGGACCCATGTCCTTATGTTCGCTCTCCTTCGCTGGTGGCAGTGGTGGTAGTGCCGGTCCATACAAACCTGAACCTGATGACTCTGATGGCACCTCACCTGACGAACTCACTAAATATGGTGGCAGTTTTGGACCAATGTCCCTTTGTTCGCTCTCCTTTTCTTGTAACGGTGGTGGTAGAGCCGGTCCATACGTACACGTTTCTGTTGATGCTCGAAGCACTTTGTGAGCGCCATGTTTCAACTCCGCTGTTTTCAGTGCAGATCCATGTACATCCGATTTCACTGACTCGGGCAACATCACAGAACCGGTGTTGTCCAACTTGTGTGTGACACTGTGGTCCAGTTCGTACAACGATGCCTCTTCTTCTTCCGTCACGCTCTCCCACAGTTTTGATAGATTTTCCATTTCAGGATGCATCGATTCGTCGTCATCCTTTGAACTCCGATTAGCCCTCACTGGTGATTGCGGCGTCTGTTTGAGACTATGTGGAAGACGTGGCCCGTAAGGATCCCGACTGGACTCGTGCGATGGCCGATCAGCGACAATCGTCTCCAGTGAGCTCTTCTCCTTGAAACCAGGTGGAAGTGTTACTCCATAACTTCTCTCCTCCATCTCAATTTTGGATCAATTCATCATATACTTGATACTAGAAAGAAGTAAATTATAACTGCAGTGTTATTAAGAAAAGTTTGCGGTCACAATAAACTACAAGGAGATGTGTTTTCGTAAGCTGTCACGGTCACAGGCACTTGGGACAAAGTCACTAAAAACTGAAAATAATATGAACGCCAGGGTTCTCCCTACGTTGCACAAACGGGGCGGGAAAACTCCCCCCTGTTTCAATCGTTGCGCCCCGTTTAAATTACCTCTGCCCCGATTAAATTCTACCACAATAAAAGTTTGCCAGCGAGGGAATCGATCGTCAAGAATTCACATTCGACCAGGACACCCGGCGCGTGTATTTTTACCCTGCCACGCATGCACTGCAGACAATACCAGGGTTCTTGTTAATAGCCGGTAACCGGTTATTTTTACCGCCTATCGCGCAATTTGTTACCGGCTATCAATTTGAGAGAAACTCCCACTAAAGGCGGTAAAATATTTAATCCATATTTGAAAAAACGAAGTTTATTTTAAATACTTCCAACCCAAGACTAACTCTGTGCACGGGCGGGTCGCCGGCAAGTTTGTTTAATAGCATATATTTTCCTATCTAAACTACCAAATTCTAGAACCCATACCCATCAAAATAGGCTATTTGTGGGTCAAATCAGAAATTTTTTTCCGGGTGTGCATGCCCCCGGACCCCCCTAGCAGGGCTTCGCGCCTTCGCCGCTCGCCCTACCGTCTGTGCCGGAAAAACAGTTTCCTGCTGTTCATTGTCAAATTACCTGCTTTGTCAAAAGTTAACAAGAACCCTGCTCTCTGGTTCACTCTCTTACTCACACACACACACGCGCGCACCTCTCTCTCTCTC